CATATAGTGTAATAATCACTTCAGGAATAGAATTTAGTGATTCATCACTTACAGACAACACTCAGTGCTCATCACAAGTGCCCTCCTTAATGCCCATCACCCATCTAGCCCAACCCCCAACAAACACCCCACCAGCAACCCTCAGTTTGTTCTCTGTATTTAAGAGTCTCTTAGGGTTTGTCTCCTCTGTTTCAAAGCTTTAAAAAAAATTTTTTTTAACGTTTATTTATTATTGAGAGACAGAGAGAGAGAGCAGGGGAGGGGCAGAGAGAGCAGGAGAAACAGAATCCAAAGCAGGCTCCAGGCTCTGAGCTGTCAGCCCAGAGCCCGATGACGTGGGGCTCGAACTCATGAGCGGTGAGATCATGACCTGATCTGAAGTCGGATGCTCAACCTAACTGAGCCACCCAGGCGCCCCTGGTCTGTGATACATATTGATCCCCCTTTAATTTTATGTTTATTGTTTGAAGAACAGCACCCCCGTCACTGCGACCACGGCATTGACGGTAACTGCCTCCTACCCACGCTTACCTTTCCCTTGACTTCTACTTCGGTCCCATGTATGTATCTGAAAAAGGCCGTCTGGCTGCGGGTCATCTTCTGGGCCTTGCTTTTGTTCCCACTCAACGTTGTGTTACAAAGTGTAGAAGATGTTCCACCTTTCCATGAGTGTAGACAGTTCAACCACATCACCGTAAGACTATTTCCCTTCCTTGAGTTAGGGTCTCTCCATGCAGGATCCCTCTGTGTGCTGCGTCCCCTGCCTAGATCTCTTCCTCCAGGCCTCGACTTCTGTGTTCTTCCTCTAGCCCATCCTAGGCACCCCACCCATGGTGCGGGGTGGGGCTTAGGCAGGTTGGGGGGGGGGGTGGTCAGAATGTGCAGAGAGTTCTTGGGGAGAGCCTGAGCTGCTTTTGTGGAATTATGGGAATTTGGGGCCTAGGAAGCCAGCCAGATTTGTTGTTATTGGTTTTAAATACGGAGGTTCATAGTGTCTTTATCCATAGTAGCCAAAAACCAGAAACAACCAAATGTCATCAACAAGAGAAAGGGGTAAATAAAAATATGTAATCAATACATATAAACATATTTTTTAGCAAAAAAAATAACTATAGACTCGACAGAGAAATGGATCGATCTCAAAATACATTAAAAAATTTTTTTTTAATTTTTTTTTTTTAATTTTTTTTTTCAACGTTTATTTATTTTTGGGACAGAGAGAGACAGAGCATGAACGGGCGAGGGGCAGAGAGAGAGGGAGACACAGAATCGGAAACAGGCTCCAGGCTCTGAGCCATCTGCCCAGAACCCGACGCGGGGCTCGAACTCACGGACCGTGAGATCGTGACCTGGTTGAAGTCGGACACTTAACCGACTGCGCCACCCAGGCGCCCCATTTTTTTTTTTTTTTTAATTTTTAAAAAAATTTTTTTTAATGTTTATTTTATTTTTGACAGAGAGAGACAGAGCATGAGTGGGGGAGGGGCAGAGAGAGAGGGAGACACAGAGCCCAATGCGGGGCTCGAACTCAGAGACCGCCAGATCATGACCTGAGTCGAAGGCGGACGCTCAACCGACTGAACCACGCAGGCGCCCCTAAAAAACTTTTTTTAATGTTTCATTTATTTTTGAGAGAGACAGAAAGAGTGAGAGCAGGGGAGAGGCAGAGGGAGACACAGAATCCAGAGCAGGCTCCAGGCTCTCGGCTCTGAGCTGTCAGTATACGGAGCCTGATGTGGGGCTCAAACTCCCAAAGAGATGGTGACCTGAGCCGAAGTCGGACGCTCAACCAGCTGAGCCACCCAGGCTCCCTGATCTCAAAATACGTGGAACAAAACAAGCCAGACACAAAATGGTACCCCACCGTGTGATTTCCTGGTGGTGAAACACACAACGCACACTGATCCATGCAGTTAGGACCTGGAGCAGGGGTTTCCTGTCATGGGTCGTAGGGGCTGACGGCGAGGGACAGAGACTCTGCGGTGCTGGGGACATTCATAAGTTATTGGGACAGAGCTACATGGGATTATACGTCTGCAGAAACTCATCTACCTGTACACCTGAAATGTGTATGTTTCATCATGGTAAATCATGCCACCGTTTTTAAAAAGTTTGGGGTAGGCGCCTGGGTGGCGCAGTCGGTGAAG